GGTCCTGATCCTGCAATAGTAATACTTCACTCCTTACTCTGGAGCAGTGGCAATGGGGCTGCCTGTGAAAGTGAGCTGTGCACTCACTGGTGGCTTTACAGGATCAGGCCATATAGCTAGTGACCAAACTCCCTGTCTATGATGCCTCTCCTATTTCACTGTGTAACATACTGTAACATTATATTCTTACTTTTTCCTCTCAAAACACAAGTTTTTCCTTTAACAAAAAATGCTGCTCAAAATAACCAGAATTAGCTAAATTTGGAGGAAAGGGATTAGGATAAGAGGTTCTGATTGGTGTTCTGGTAAGTATTGTTCTTACTTACATTTCCAGTCTGCTTTGTTTCCCTATCTTGGTGGGAGAGAGTGGAACCTATTTCAAAACTTTACATAATGTGGAGCTAAAACTATAGATTTCTGCAGGAAATAAACATTAATTGCTATGCACTGGCCTTTTGATGGATTTACAGTGAAATTTAAGGGCCAGATTCTACTTACAGGTGGACCAGAATAACCTTGGAGTGACTTCTTTGACTTCAGTGTAGTCAGTCCAAGTTTGCTCTGGTATAATTGAGAGCATGATTGGGCCCTTCACTGTCAAGAAACATTGTTAAATGCAGCAGCTAAGAAACCAAATCCCAAACGTCAATGCTGTGCGCTGTTCTCTTCCACAGGATACAAGCGACCATGGTATCATCGGATGCATTGTCATGATTCTTTCCTTCTTTCAACCAGTGATAGCTTGCTTCCGGCCTTCTCCTGAAAGTAAGAGGTATGTACACGTAAGTGCTTCAACAGAATGGACGTTTAAACTTGGGTTGTTTATCAAAAAAAGTACACGCTTGTTATATTGTGGATCAGTCAAGCCGGAGGGAAAATTGTAGGATTTTTGAAGCCAAATCCATAGGTGGTGATATGCTGGAAGTTAGTTGGGGTAAAGAATTGTGCAACAGCAGGAGAAAACAGACCTTTGAATACAGCTGCTCACTTCACATAGGGCTTCTTTGCAACAAAATAGAAAGAAGGATAGTTGCTATGGCTTCCACCCACTTTTAAAGGGTTTCGTCTCTGCTACCATGAGGCAGGCTGGACCGCTCACTTTGGTATCCTTTGCCTTGTCCTTCCCCCACCCTCCCATTGAGACTGCAAACCCAGTCTGCCTAGGCCGAGCAAACTGGGCACCTGCAGCCCAGGGTGCAGTAGGCAAGGGACCAATGCAAAGGGCTAGGGCTTTGGCTTCTCCTTACTAGCCATGGCTGGACTCTGATCCCCGTGCACTGGACCAGCAGGCTTCTCCCCAACCCCTCCCTCACTTGCTCCTCGGCTGGCTGGCTGAGAGCTCCAGATTCTGGCCCTGCCTCCCCAGCCCTAGGGACAGGGAGCCCCGAGTGTCAGAGCTAGTCACTGGTTGTACAGCAGCCCAGCTCAATGCTGCCCAGAGTGGGGCTCCTTCCTGTATCCTGCCTGCCTGCGCTGTTCAGTCTCTGGGACTAGGAGGAGCAAAACTTGAGGGTTGCCAACTTCCACATCATAAATCAGCATCCACATTTAAGACATTTAATAATGCAAAATACAAGCTGATCCTGTCTCAAACAAGACCAAAAGAAGCCACTCCCTAACAAAACCCTGACTCTCTGTGTGACTAGATCCCTGGCATGCAGTCTGGGCCTGCTGTGCATCCCTGAACTTGCTCCCTTTGCTCCTACTTGTCCCTTCTTGCCTCTTGCCCCCATCACCCCTGCTTACCCTGACAAAGATGCAACAAGTTACAAGCCAAACCCACAACAAGCAATCACCCTGGGTCCCACACTTTGAGGGGCTCCATGGGACCCAAGGTTGCCCACAGGATTAGTAGAGGGCCTGGTGCTAGCAGCAGGGGTAAGCACGCACACCCCCACGCTCACTGGGAGGGGAAAGCAAAGTGATGCAATCCCAGCCTGCTGTGCCCTCCAACCCCCAGCTCTCCACTGTGTTGCTCGGGGAAGGGAGTTTAGAGCAATGAGTGGGACCACCCTCTGCACTCACTGGTGAAGAGAAGCAGAACTTCGTGGCTGGAAGCTGGGGGAGCAGGCCAGGCTGAGGCTGGGTCACTCTGCTTCCTGCTGCCAGTGAGTGCGGGAGGGGGCCACCCCTGCTACCAGCATCCAATGCCCCACTAGTCCATCAGGCCGCATCGCTCGGGAGAAGGGATGGCGGGGTGATGGGCAGAGCAAGAGTGGGGGCCTAGGGAAAGGGGTGGAGTAGGGCAGTGTTGGGGAGGGCTTAGGATAAGTTGTCCCTGGGCCTCTTGCTAGGAATGGGGATGAGTCACGGGATGAGATGGTCACGTGGCTGGTGCCTCCCTTGTGTTCCTCTCCAGCAGTCGCCTCTGAGTGCACTCGCTGTCTCTCACACTTCCCTAGTACACACAGACACACCATACACCTGTGTATGTTAGCAGTGCGGGTGGAGCTCTAGGACTCTGCAGGCAGGGATGGTGGCTGTGTTCCCTTGATACACTGACTTCAATGGAGTGTAGGATCACCCATTTAATAATGCTGCGTAGGGCCCCAGAAAGCTTTAGGATGGCTCTGACCCTGTCTATGCTGGATGACTAAATGTAGTACTAGTGAAACGATTCTATCACAAGAGTCAATGAGTGCTAGTTGAGCAATTGAAAGGAGAAGGGATTTTTGCTATGTGTGTTAAACTTTTATTGTTTGGTTTTGAGAACACTTACAGAACTCAATGACTAAGTCTCTGTTCTGGAGAAAGAATGACTGTTATAGCTGCAACCACTAAACCCTTTCCATAGAAAGCCTGGAGGTCTTCCAGCAAACGTGGAGACCAGAGATGGTAAACAAACAAAACACACACACAAAAACCCTAAAAGCCAAGCAGTGGAAACAAATTCTAATCTACTCTTACCATTTTTTTCTACATTAACACAAAGAAAAAGGAAACCAGCCCAATTAATAAACTCTTCTCCTGCTCTCCCCTAGTTTGTTCGGTGTCAGTAAGATATTTCCCCAATTTGAGGATGGAATCTCTTTTTGCCTCCTTCTCTGGTGCATGCAGTTTGTCCTAGTCTGTGTATCTTTCTGCTCCTCCATGACCACTTGTTTATCAATACTTGGAGAACCTCTATGCTGTCACCCGTGTGACCAGAGTCTCAGTCTGAGCAGGGGATTACTGTGGGTCTGACTCTCCCTCATCCTACAACAACAAAACCCATAAGCCCCTATTACTACTGCTGTGGCCTCTCACTAGACCAGGGAGAGTACTGTGACAAGCTGGTGTTCATCCAACCTCTGCAGATTTAACAGGCGCTATACCATGACTGATGATTGCTTCTACATGTTAGAAAAGCAGCTTTCCCAAGATTCTGCAGTCATCGTTTTAAGCATGCTAAAGAGTGGTAGCTGAAGTAGTCATCAGTGTATCTACCTGTCTCTGGATACAAGATCATATTAGTTTTCGTTTAGACCAAAGAGCTCTCTAAGCCCTCAGTTTTAGGATCTGCAACAACTTATTTGATATCCATGAAAGATTTTGATTCATATGTTGATTGGCTCTTTTCCACCCCCTGAAACCACATATTGGAATAGTAACTCAGATTCATCTTGTATTTCCACTTACAAAAAATTAACATCTCACTTCACTGCATTCGTTCTCTTCCAATCCACTCTTGCTAACACCCATTTCCACTACAAGTGAATCCGAATCAGAATTCCACAGTCAGGTGTCCTTGAAATTTGGGGAGTGTTAATTTTTTTTTATTCACTTAAGAGAACAATGGAGTCTTCAGAAGTTTTAGGGTCACAATAAGTAGTGCATGATTTATCAGACTCTGAACATTGTCTACAAGAATTATAATTTGAAATTGGATTGTAAAAGACAAATGGAGAATTTCTGGAAGGTAGAGCAAGAGAGAGTGAGAATGTCTTGGAGGGTGAGAAGGCCAGCAGGAGGAAAGTGCAAAAAGTAGGAGAACGCAAGAGGATCTTGAAAAAGCTACTTTTTGTGTACAGCACAAGCATTCAGTAACTGACTGCAAATCAGAAGTGCTTTTTGCAGTTCTCTATAGGAAAATCCTTCCTATGAGATCCATCTACCATTTCTGTCCTGGTTTTCACATGCAAAATAATGTAATGATATCATATACCCTTAAGAACTACAGTGTTTCCCTGAGAGGTTTATCATCTCGTAGGAGTTTTGAAAAATTAGTCTGGCATATTATTCACTGTACAGTCTGTTTTTCATTGTGAAGTAAAATTCTACTATATCACACCACTTTAACATAAAAGTACACATCTTTTCTATTATACCAACAGGAGATTTATTTTTAACTGGTTTCATGCTCTAAATGCTCTCGTCATAAAGGTCCTGGCTGGTAAGTTGATGTTTGAATGTTTATATAATAAACTTATAACAACTACAGATGCTCCTTGGGAGTGCCCACATATTCAAGCCAGAATTGTTGAACTGGGTTTACTACTTCATTTTTAATATTATATTCATCTTATTGATCAGTTTTGTTGGAGAGGCAGGAGTCTGGTATAGAATAGAACTGAGAATCAGGATTAAGACTTGCTAAGAAAATGTCATCAAAATGGAGTCTGACAGAAAAATGTTTTTTGATTAAACTACTTCTTTTGTGAAAAGTGTCTGCTTCCCACAGAAAATTTTTCATTGAAATACTTTGAAAATGTTTCAGTTGCAGCTAAGAACTTTTAATTCAATTAAGAAATGCTACTGCTGTTCGCATGAGAGTTACAGATTCCATTTTCCTCTTTCAGGGTGTGTCTAGACTACATGGCTCCGTCGACGGAGCCATGTAGATGAGGCAGGACGACAAAGGGAAATGAAGCGGCGATTTAAATAATCACCGCTTCATTTACATCAAAATGGCCGCCGCGCTGTGCTGATCAGCTGTTTGTCAGCACAGCGTGGCAGTCTAGACAGGGATCGGCTGACCCCAGAACCCTTTGTTGTCAGATCCTTTATGCCTCATGAAATGACAAAGGGTTCTGGGGTCGGCAAATCCCCGTTTAGACTGCCGCGCTGTGCCAACAAACAGTTGATCGGCACAGTGTGACGGCCATTTTGATGTAAATGAAGTGGTGACTGTTTAAATCACCACTTCATTTCCCTTTGTCATCCTGCCTCATCTTGGGAAGCCATGTAGTCTAGACACACCTGCAGAGAGGTTCCCAAACTTGACCACAGCCATGGGACCCCAATGATGCACCAAAATTAGAGGTCTTGGTATATCATGGGAGATGCTGTCTGACCAAGGAATCCTGTGTCTAGCGAAGAGAATGGGGACATGAAGAACTTAACAACTCACAACTTCAGTGAGGTTTGCGGTTCCAAATTAAAACTATTGTGGTTTTCAAGCAATTTTCATTTTCTCACAACAGGTCAAAACTATTGGTGAAAAATGTAAATGAAAACAATTTTTTTCATTTACATTGAAATTTTCCACAGGAGGAAAAAAAATGTTGTCCATTAGTAAGGATTCCTGCATTTTATTCCCAGCTCTCCCATCACTTTGCTATATTACTTTGAGCAAGTGTCTTCATTTCTGTCTTCAGTTGCTCCATTACAAATTGCTTAAACTATTACAGAGTCTGATTCAGAGTCCAAAGCCTTTACTTAACAAGTATTTAAATTTAATTAATATTAATAGGTCTTCTGATGTAAAGTGCAATAATAATGAAAATATGATTATTATTACTGTAATTATGACTTATAATTAATGTGGGTTCTCTTGTAATTTAAAATTAATTCTTAGCATTCTCTGTTATTTGCCTTGATTATATTTTGAATGTATAACAATGCACTGATTCACAGCAAAATGTAAGGAAACTGTAACACCTTAAACATTTTAGAACATAAATTGGAAGTGTTTTGCCAAATATCGCATTGGCATGAAACTGGTTCTGCTTCCCAAGCCAGCCAGCCTTTGTTTTCTGCTGACATCAGCAATGCTGCTGGCACCATATCCAAACTGCCAAGGCAAAAGTGCCAAGTTGGCCCACCAGCCAGCTCTGTTGCTCATGTTCCCAGATGGGGACTGCAGGTATTGCTGCTACCACTGCTGGTGTTGCTATTCCTGGCCTACTGAAAAAGAAGAAAGGTGGGGAAGAAGAGAACAAAACCCTAACCGGTCTGCTGTCCAGCCCTGATTCAGGAAAACACTTTGCTAAAGATCAACCCTATTCAGGACCTGTTCTTAACTTGGAAGGCTTGATTGGGACTTAAACATGTGCTTAAAATTAAGTTTGTACTTAAGTGCTTTACTAAATCAAGGATCTAATGAGGAAGAAATTCTCATTAGCTCCTCCTTCTTCCAAGTGTAGTGCCTTGTCATTTAGACCCCATCTGTGGCATTCACTTACCCACCACTCCTCACCAGTCTTCATCGATCAAGGCACTGAGGTTAAGAGCTAACTCTCTGTTTTCATCTTGACTGATGGACAGGAAATTAGAAGTGGGGGGCAGGAGTTTCTATAGCTGGAGCTGTACCACATTCATACATTCGTAGAAAGGGCACAGAGTGGGATCTATAAAATACACCAACTAGTGGGTTATATCACCATTGTTAATTCTGCGTTCCAAACAACTGGTATTTGCAGATCAAACAATCACCCTTAAAAAAATTGAAAATGTTGGAAAATGTTAAAATTGTGAATGGAATCTAGAATGGTTGATGGTATTATATTAAGTGCATGTTGCTTTGTTTTGTTGCTCTTTAGTTGCTGCCATATTTCTGGGACTGCAGTTATTTGACACCTCTCCCAGCCTGTGGATGGTCAAAACTATGGGAGGATTTGTAGGATGGGAGGCATTAGCGTACATAATGCTTGATGCAAATGCTTGGTTGAAAAAGAAAGGTAAATGTCAGCTACAGTTCATATGGAGAATTATTTTTTTCTTTTAGCAAAGGCAAGAAGTAAAATGAAGACTCATAATTTTCTTGGTTATATTTTTCAGAGAAATATGAAGATCCACCTAATAAGGTAATGTTGATGTAACATATTTTAAAACATAAAATGTAAATGATTTATTTTTCATACTGCTGAAAATATACCTTGCAGCACTTTGGAATGTGATTTTTGTCAGACTTCTTGAGTTAACTGAAATGAATCTGAGTCAGCACTCAATGGGAAACCACCACACACAAAATCTAGGGTGCTGCAGGAAGATCAATTAATAGATTCTTTTAAGAACTATATTATGATTATATCAGGCCCTTAGTGCATATTTTAGAAAAACCTCCAGTCATGATTTAAAAACGTCTTCAAGTGAAGTAGAATTCTTCGCATTATGTGGTAAGTTGTTCCATTGATTAATTACAATCACTGTTACAAATGTGTACCATACTCTCAATCTCTCTTTAAACTTCAGCCATTGGATCTTGTAAAACCTTGTCCACTAAACTAAAGAGTGCTCTACTATCAGAAATCTTCTCCCCAAATAGGTACTTATAGACTGCTATCAGGTCATCCCTTAACTTTTTCTTTGGGATAAATTTTCAATTAGTGGCAGTGAAGTGACGTTGAATAAGTGACAGTGTTGAGAGATGGGGACTATTGCTGGAGGTGCTCTTTTTCAGGAGAGGGAAACTGATGTGATCCCAAAACATCCCATGAGACTTTTTTCAAGTATACAGTTCCTAACACAGCACCCTGGTTAAATTCTAATTTGCATATTTGTAGTCTGGTTACCTGTATTTAAAACCCTCATGCATTGTTAATTAGACACACAGCTTCCACCCTTCACTCTTTCTCCAGTCTTCTTCAGAGTGACTCCTTTTCTAAATTTTAAAGAGTATTGCACTTACATCAATTCTATTTAACTATCAACTTGTGAAAAACTGGTACAGCTTTCAAAACCTTTGTTATGTACTTGTTAGTAAAACTGATGTTCAAATAGAATTTAATTTGATATTTTCTTTGAATAACTTTTAATATTTTTCTCCTTTCTAGATAAAAAATGAAATTATTATATTTTTAATATATACATGTGGAAACCTGGCATTTGTAATAGCACTGCTTGTGGGAATTGGAAAATCCTAAAATTGACAGGATTTATCTTGGAAAAATGAAGATTATTCCTATCTTGAGATTCTTCTAGAACAAATACAAAGAAACAATGAACATTGAATACAAGTTTTAGCAAGCTTTTAATTTTGTTTGTTTATAAATAGTATTTTAGGTTCTCTAATTGACACATTTTCTACACAATAATGCAAAATAAATTTTATAGTGAGATTCTATTAGCTAGTTATTGGAGATGTTCTACACGTTATAGCAGATAATTATTTCCAACATGGGAAAAGTAAGAAGGCAATATATAAATGCCAGGTGTTTATAGTTGTTTCATATGACACTCCTTTCTAAACTTTGTTAATGTTTCCATCTTTAACAAGAAAAGATTTCTTTGTGCAAAGAAAGTTGAGGACCTGATTTTCATGAGACTAATTTATGCTCCAATTCTTGCACCGAGAACTTCACAGGCAAATTTCTGTGCCCACCTGGGGTCCTGTTGACCTCAGGATTTCAGTAAAGCTCAGTGCAGGCTCATAGATCCATCTACAACAGGGGTGGGCAACATACTGTCTGTGGGCTAGATCCAGCTCACCAAGCCACCTGATCTGGCCTTGGGAGCCTCAGCCAGGCTCCCTGCCTGCCCACTCCCACACTCTTGTCTTCACACATTGTCCCTGCCCCTAGTACAATCTCAAAGCTCCCATTGGCCAGTTTCACACATTGTCCCTGCCCCTAGTACAATCTCAAAGCTCCCATTGGCCAGTTTCACACATTGTCCCTGCCCCTAGTACAATCTCAAAGCTCCCATTGGCCAGTTTCACACATTGTCCCTGCCCCTAGTACAATCTCAAAGCTCCCATTGGCCAGTTTCACACATTGTCCCTGCCCCTAGTACAATCTCAAAGCTCCCATTGGCCAGTTTCACACATTGTCCCTGCCCCTAGTACAATCTCAAAGCTCCCATTGGCCAGTTTCACACATTGTCCCTGCCCCTAGTACAATCTCAAAGCTCCCATTGGCCAGTTTCACACATTGTCCCTGCCCCTAGTACAATCTCAAAGCTCCCATTGGCCAGTTTCACACATTGTCCCTGCCCCTAGTACAATCTCAAAGCTCCCATTGGCCAGTTTCACACATTGTCCCTGCCCCTAGTACAATCTCAAAGCTCCCATTGGCCAGTTTCTGGCCAAAGTACCACACAAAGTACCTCTCCAGCCTTGCTGTGTTCAAAGCCACACATGGTGCCTGCAGCCGTCATGGAAGGAAGGGACCCTGGCTGAGGAACCTGCTGGGCTGTTGGCTGGGAGCACCCAAGTAAGCACCTCCTGGCCAACCTCCATCCCAGACCCCGCACTTCCTCCATTGATATAATAGAAAAGTGTGATCCTTGACCACTTACCAAATTCTTGGAGTGGTCACCTCCCTTAAAAAAATTGTTGTGCACTCCTGATCTACAAGGTTGTCAGTGAAGATCAGGGCCATGGAGTGCGTCTACCCTGAATCTGGAAAGTGTAATTCCAGCTCAAGAAGATATGCCTGTGCTCTCACTGATCAAACTATCCCTCAAATAACAGTGTAGCTATGGTAGCACAAGCGTCAGGACAAGCTAGCTACCCCAAATGCATATATATGGCTTGGCGAGAATTATATGTGGGGGAGCTAGCCCATGCTGTCCTCATGCCATGATACCCTACATTTTATAGCAGCTGCTTAATCAGAGCTAAGGTATCTATGTCTCCATGAGCTGGAATTTACCTTCCAGTTCCCAGACTACTGTACTGTAGACTGCTGCTCTCATTGATGTCAGCCAAAAAACTCCCTCTGTCTTTCATGGTGCAGAATTTGACTTATAGTCAGTGCCTGACTTTGTTCATGCTTGTTCAGATTGAATGGGTATTTTTGATATCATGCCCTCAAATGCTCACAACTTTCTTTTTTAGGCTGAAAATAGGAACAGGTGGTGGTTACATAATGAAATTTTAAAATGCAGATATGTTTTGAAAATAGTAAAGATCCCAGAACCCGTGATGTACTCTGTATATGCTTTTTTTTTAATGGATTATAGTTCATGGTAGTTTTCAAAATGCAATGTGCATATGATGAATAATAAAGCAGGCCTCAAAACAGTCTAACTAGTCCGTAGCCTTCAGTTGTGTACAGCCATACTATGTAATCATCTACTGCATGGGATGTATATGCGGTCCAAATTCTGCTCACCTGCCTCATATGAATGGTCCCACTAACTTGAGTTGGATTTGTCCCCTGGGGGATACGAATTTTGAGGGGACAATACTTATAACAGGTAAGATACTAAAAACTATTATCAAAAGAATGATACATTGTATTATAAACTTAGAAGACGCCATTGATTATGGTGCTATAGATCTTTGAACGAAAAATTACCCGATGGGATTTATAGGATTGCAGCTTTTATTCAGTCGTATATTACTATCACTGAACTGGCAGCAGGAGGACCCAATGCAAACCGGCAGCAACCCAGAAGAATTGGGCAAACCAACTCACTTAACTCATCCATGGCCACATGTGAAAATCAAGTGCTAGGCCCGATGGCTGCCTTAGAGTATGCATTTTTGGTGATGACTGAGATACCAACGAGTAAGACACATGATCAAAAATGTTGGAAGCAGGATTCAGACACCAAATCAGATTGTGAAGCTGCTGACAAAGAGCTAGATTTTGGCTACATTAGAAAGTAGACCAGCCAAAGTGCAGATTTGCTGCTGTTTGCTACCTTTTGTGCAAGGTGAACAGGATGCGTGTTCATACTATTGTGGGTTGTTTTAAGAGGAAATATCCTGTGTCTGAGCACCGCTTCCCAATTTCCAGCCTGAAGAACAGACCCATTGTAAAAGTCCATCTTCCACCCATGAAAATGAGATGGTGATTATTTATTTGTATTATTAGCATTTCTAAGGTGCCTACTGTCATAGGCTCAGGGTGACTGTACATGTATCCCTCTCCTCCATGGGCCACTTCTTAAATGCCTGTCAGGTCTCCAGCCATCACGTGTCTCTGGCCAGGGATCCTTGTCCCATTCCCCATTCTCTTCTGATGGGGTGGGGAAAGGCTGGTGTTTAAGGCGGTACAGCGCCCTGCCTTAAACTGTGATGTCCCCAAGAAGCCAGTGCCTGTGCATTGCTTTCTACCTCTAAGAGCTATGACCAGGCTGTTGCCAGGAAGAAGTGGGTTGTGCCCATGAAAGCTCATGGTACCATCTACATCCGTGGTCCCCAACACGGTGCCCGCGGGTGCCATGGCGCCCACGGGGGCATTTCTCTGCGCCCGCCAAGTGCTCAGGGCTGGCTGGCCCTGGGCACGTGGTGCATGCGCGGTGCCGGAGCCGGCCCCGGGCGCGTGGCACATGGTGAGCGCCGGCCCCGG